GGTTCAGATTTCAGCACATTTAAAAAATTATCTTGTAATGATAAGCTTCAGAGGAGAAGTTTCACTGTGAATGCCGTCATCGGCTTCATACATTCCTTACTCTACACAAAACACAATTTAATGTTTTTTTTCATTATTACTGTCAACTTTCTGTCTGTATGAAGGTGTAGTCTGGAGTCGTCACCTTAAGGTGCGGTTGCACGAGCAATAAAAATTGAGCAACATGAGGTAACATTACAGTTGGAAATTTTGAAGAAGAAAATATTGCCATGACTGTGATTGCTGCAACCAGTTCGCCAGGCCGTAGGTACTTACTTAGAAATTAATTTAGCGGGAAAGCCTCCAACAGAGCAGAGAGTTCTGCCAGAGTAATATTTCTGCACTATGCAGATTGCACAATATTATTTGTTTTCACACACAAAGCTCAGTATGGCTAGAGGCAAATTATACTTACGCTTCCCTCACCAGATCCGCGGAAGGCATTGTAAAGAATGGTACATGTGCTTATCCTGGATCAGTGTGTGTGTGTGCGGTTCCAACATAGCCATGAAATATGTCCTACTATTCATTGCAAGAGGCCTCAAAAAGTCCTTGAAATTGGCCCCTGTATGGGCTCGCTACGCCCGCTCCCTGCTTACACCACTGAATAAAAATTAAATACTTTTACTTTTATTTATTTTTTTATCCTCCGCCACTGATCAGCTCGTGAGCTGCTTGGGCGGTCGGGCACATCTCTGTTACGCACTGTTGGCAAGTACTGGGCATGCACCGGCTCCTGAATGTATCTGAACCTGCTCCAGTGTTGGTCACTTCTTGTCTTGAAAGAGCTCACACTCGGTACCGTCACTTTACTTTTATTTTACTTTTATCCTCTTCACCACTGATCGGCTCGTTAGCCGCTTGGGCGATCGGTCACGTCTCTGGTTACTTTTCCTTTTCATTTATCCTCTTCACCAAAAGATCGGCTCGCTAGCCGACCGGGCGATCGGTCACGTCTCTGTCACGCACTGTTGGCAAGTACTGGACATGCACCGGCTCCTGAATGTATCTGAACCCGCTCCAGTGTTGGTCACGTCTTCTCATGAAAGAGCTCACACTCGGTGCTGCCAACATTTTCGAAGATTGTTCCAAGAGTTTACAACCCCTACCCGAAAAATTGCCCTCGCAGTTTTCTGGACTTGCGGCTTCTTCAATCTTGAGCTGTGACCTGTGGGACAGTGTCCCCAGCTCCAAATGACACTCGACTGAGTAGTGCCCCTGAGATGCTTATACACCTCAAACGTCCCCCCTTGCCCGTCTGTAGCATAAGCTAAGCAAGTTCAGGCGCTCCAATCTCTCAGGGTAGCTGAGGTGCCGAAGCGCAGGCACCAGCCTGGTGGCCCTCCTCATTTTCAACCAACTGGCAGTCCCTAGCATATCTCGGGGACCAGACGGTACAGTACCCAGATGGGGAAGCACTTTACTCTTGAAGATCGTTACGAGGACGGACCGTCTAGATATCTGAACGACCTTCTTATAAGACCCAATAATTTCTTTGCCTGATTTACCTTCTTCTCGCAATGGCCTGAGAATTTCAGCTCATTGTCGACATACACCTGTGGTCCTTTTCACAATCAATCTCAAATAGTGCAGTTTCTTCATCCCGTTGGGACATATGATACGCCTCCTTACCGTTGGTACGCCCCAGGTGCATCCTCTTACACTTCGTGACATTGAATCTCAGCAGCCATTTCTTCGACCATTCTTGGAGCCCAAGAGGTCCTTCTACAGCTCTTCACAGTCCGCTTGGTTCTTGATTTCCGAAATAACTTGGCGTCATCGGCAAACATTTGTATGAGGAGTGTACAACATCAGGCATGTCATTTATGAAACAAACAACAGAGGGCCCAATACACTGCCCTGTGGTAACCCACTTGTGACAGGTAATGGAGATGATTTTCCCGCCCATCACCACACACTGCTTGCGGTAATGTAGAAAGTCTTCTATTCACGCTATGAATAGATTAGGGGTAGGAATGTTAAAAGGAAATACAATAATACCATAAATTAATTCACTCAATTTCAAATCTCTGAACAGAAAGTCAGATTAGCAACCTGGGACTTGGTCACAATTTTCGTGATGCCATACAGGCAGCAGGCTCTACCATTAGACAATACATTATGCTTCAAGCATCTTTCCAGGAGGTAGTGCCTCCCTGTTTGGTAGCTTCCTACTACTGGGAACTTAACAATTTCACATGTTTTGTGGGCGGTGGAGCATAATATGAATAATTAAGTGTTGAACGGACTAACCATTAGGTGTGTCATAATGAGGCGAATTCTTTTTTTTGTTTGAAAAATCCACCATGGTATTAATGATAGTTCTATAGCAGAATCATGTGATATCTCTAGATGAAATTTTCATTTTTTGCTAGGTAAATTTTAATTGAAATCTTATGAAAACTAGTATTCCAACCTTCGGTGAAAATTAATTCCTTAACCTGGGACTTTGGTAGTTACGCAGATTCTGACCAGGATAGCTGAGGGCATTGAACGGCTTTACTTTCCTCAGTATTTCTGAGAGGATACCTTAACCTTCCTGCGTTTTGAGGACAGACAGACCAGCACAGCACTGGCCCATTGTGTTCACAGAAGAGGGTGACAGAAATAAACTGTCCAGGCTAAAGATGCAAGTCCTGGACCTGACATGATGCATCCTAGAGTGCTAGGGGCTGTGCAGCAGGCTTGCAGAGCCCCTGAAGATTCTGTTTTGTAAATGCCTGGATGAACAAATGGTCCCCAGTAGATGGAAAGTGGCTTATGTTGGTCCTATCTTCCAAGAAGGGCGATAGGCACTCCACGAACAACTATAGACCGGTGAGCCTGACCAGCATAATATGTAAGTACTTGAGAGTATTATCAGAGATGCAACGATGGAACATCTACTACAGAAACAACCTTGTAAAGATTGCTTGGTTTTATGCAGGAGCTCTTGTAACTAGTACTCCGGTATTGGATATTTGGACCCATATTCTAAGTGGGGTGGTAATATCGACAATATTTACCTAGATTTTGCCAAGGCTTTCGACAGTGTACCCACGAGCTGAAAATCAAAACGGAAGGGTACGGAAAATTCGGGGAAATGTCTAGCGTAGATGAAGAACTTTCTACGCTGCATAAGCAACAATGTGTGGTGATTAATAACTTTTGAAATCAATCATCTGTACCTGTAACAAATTGAGGAACCTGGGTAGTGTATTGGGCCCGCTGTTGTTTGTTTGTTTTTCCATAAATGATATGCCTGACGTTGTACCTCCTCCGCCTGAAGTGTTTTGCCGATGACGCCAGTTGCTGGAAATTAAAACCAAGCGGACTGTGAAGAGCTGCAGAAGGACATCTGTGATCGAGGAATGGTCGAAGGATAGCTGCTGATTCAATAATGGCACGAAGTGTAAGAGGGATGCACCTGGGGCGTACCAGCAGTGAGGGCGTACCATATGTCCCCGCCCAGGATGAAGAAAATGTAGTTGAACTGTGTGTGAGAAAGGACCTAGGTGTGTATGTTGACAGCAAACGGTTCTCGGGCCATTTGGCCCCAGCAGAAGAAGGTAAATCAGGCAAATAAAATTATTGGGTCTGCAGAAGGTCGTTCAGATATCTAGACGGTCCGTCCCTCGTGACGATCTTCGAATTAAGTCTTCCCCCATCGAATTACTGTCACTATCCTGGTGCAGAATATGCTAAAGGACTGTCAGTTGGTTGAAAATGTTCGGAGACCCGCAAACGTTGCCTGCACTTCAACATACAGCTACCTGAAGATTGGAGCGTCTGAACTTGCCTGAAAGCTATACTGGGCGACAGGGGGTTCGGTGAGGTTTATAAGCATCTCCAGGGCACTACTCAGTTGAGTGTCCTTGGGCTGGCGGTTTCGCCCCTAAGGGTCACAGCTTCAAGATTGAAAAGCCGCAAGTCCGGAAAACCGTGAGGGCAAACTTTTTCGGGTGGGGTTCGTAAACTCTTGGAACAATCGAAAAAAGTGTGTGCAAATAAGTCTAACTAACACCCCTCAAAAAAAAAAAAAAAAAAAAAAATGGACTACCCTCCTAGTTACACAGGACCTGGCGGCCTACTAACCCAACAATAACAAATAATAATAATAAGCAGCATTATATAAATAAACTAATATTAATACAAAGGTCTGACGACCCAAGGGAGCAGAACAAAGACAAAACACCAATAAGAAAGATGAAGGATCTGGTTGAGCCCAGATTCTTTCTACTCCTACTGTATTTCAGTTTCACCACTTTTCCTTCAACTCCTAATAATCTTTCTTTTTTTAACTAAAGACTTCGTATCGTATCTCTCTCTTCTTCTAGCTACAGCCGCAGCAAGCAACACCACCTCCCTCCGCCGCTCTGGCGGCCTGCTCCTTCCGCCGGCGAGCGCTGGCGACCCCAAGCTGGTCCTCCTCTGAGCACCCTACCAACTGCACCTCTACATACGCTTGTAATCATGCTGCCTTCAGCACCAGCTGCATTGTACATCAATACAATATGTATATGTGAGCACATTGTGAGTTTCCTTTCTCCATCCCATCCTGAGTCTCAAACCAAATACCACATACCCCACAATGTCTTCAATAAAGACAAGCTAAGGTGCTCTGTTGATTACCTTTTCCCGTGTGATTTTATCAAGATTTATCTTATCCACGTTTTCATTGTGGATCTACATGAAATATATATATATATATATATATATATATATATATATATATATATATATATATATATATATATATATATATATATATATATATATATATATATATATATATATATATATATATATATATATATATATATATATATATATATATATATATATATAAAGGCGCAAAGTAAATGAAGGGTATATAGTAATTTCATTTGGTTGTGTACAGGTGAAGGGTCGGCTCTTGCAACACTACGCGTTGAGTCACATGGGTTTTGTTTCTCCAGCTTAAGTCTAGAAACATTTGGTGGTCAACCTCACGCGGTTGAAAACGAACGTAATACAAAGGGCTGTATGGCTGTGTAAAAGCGTAAGTTATAGTGTGTTGATACTATTTAACAGTAGCGGTTTTATTTACAATTTACAATTAGATATATTAACAGTGATGACATTGACTCGTGTTAAATGTCAACAGGCATAGTTGACCACTGTTTCCTCGCACAGCTGCGGTGACACTCTCATCTATCAAGGCAGTATTATAAGTATGTGATCACGTATGCAATTTCTTGTTTGTGTAACTGGTAATGTCTGCTGAGAAAAGCACTACCGTGGACCACGAGTTGTTCTATTTCGTTGATTTTTTCCACGGATGTTCTAGATGACAGGAAGTAATGAAAAGATACAACAATGCACAGAACCTAATAAAACATGATTATTATTATCGTTTCGCTCACGCAGAGAATTTTAGGATTTCATGTATAGTTAGGTTGGGTTGAGGTTATGTTGTTAGGGTTTTACAGTGGTTTTTGAGGTATTATTATCGTTTCGGTCATGCAGCGAATTTTTTTTATTTTAAGTTTTGGTTAAGTTAGGTTGAAATTATGGTTTTCCAATTTTGTTTTGTGTGTATTTTGAACGACTTCTAAATAGGTGTATAACCGAAACAATAATTTTACCAAAACCCTGACCCGATCAAAGTAGGTGTTTGTAACTACTAAATATTTTGGATAATATTTAAGGAAAGAGAAAAAATATGGTAAATTTGGGTAAATGTTACTTTTAGTTCTATATTCTTCTAGCGACTCAAAAAAAATATCCAATGTATTTTTTGTTTAATTTATTTGACTCAAAATGTTGCAAATCAATTTTTGAGTTATGACCCTCCTGCTACTAATAATGGGGACCCCAGGGAACCGGGGTGGGGTAACTAAAAACTAGACTGTGCAGTTTTAAAAGTCAAATTCATTCAAAACACAGGAAAACATTTTCATCACTAAAACATGCATCCTAACCTAACCTAATCCAACCTAACTTAACCAAACCTAACCCAACCTAATTTAAACTAACTTAGCCCAACCTAACCTAACCTAGTTGGCCCCAGGTCACACTGCTTAACCCTGTCTGGTCACTAAAATATGCATCCTAACCTACTGGTAACCACTTTCCTTACCTTATTCAGAATCAGAGGAGGATGTGAAAGGCCTAGGTGACGCTGCCTGTACCCGAGGTTCCTGGCTGAGCCTCTTCAGTGTTGTCCTCGTCACTACTACCTACTACTGGTGGTGCGAGAGGGGGAGGGGCGTTCTGAGAGTGGTGGGTATAATTTTCAGCCACCTTCTATACATGGAAGACATCATCTCCATGGGCATTAATAAATATGTATCTGGTCAAAACATTTTACGTATTGCTTTCTCATGCCAGGACACTTTATCCACTCTTACACGTCCCTCCAAGCCCTTTCAACTGTCTGGGTATGGATGCGGGGATTTTCGGGAGCCACAAAATTTTCACTATGGTTCTATAAAATGTTGGTAAACACACTCACTCAATTTATTATATACCCGCCTAAATTCTGAGTAAATAATACTTCTAGGACGAATATATTTAAAAATGTAAGTTTAAAGTAGATCTAGTGCGGTCTTCTAAACCTGGGTCAATGAGCAGAGTAATAAATCTCTTTTTCGATACTCATTCAATACCCCGAAACATCCATACCTGACTTAAAACACTGCCTTTCTCATGTTTTCGGTGGGTAATGAGTGTTTTGTCTATTTCAACCTCTATATTGGGACCACGGGTAGCTTCCTGATTTTCAAACCAGTGCTGACATACCTAACTACAAAACGAACGCCAGACAATGGTAGTTTCCGCACACTTTTAAATGATGATTAAGTGGCTCATGCTTCCAAAATGGAGACAAAAACAGAATAACAAATATCCTTAGTTTTCATATCGGCACATATGTTCCTTTGATAGGAGAGTCCTTTGGGTCACTCACTTAATGCACACAAAAACGTCTTTTTTTTCATTTTATGAATTACATATGAACTAGTACACGCCATCGTTTTTGTTTGGGGCAAAACTCAGGGTTAGGAGCACAACACAGATGTCGGTAGTACAGTACAGTGAGTTCTGCTATATAACGCTGGTTTGGACAACGTTGAATTGGCTCAATGCTAGGCTTTACGAAATGAGGAACGATATTTGTATAACACTAATGCTTGTTTGCTGTAATTCGATTTTGCTGACTATTTCTCCAGTTTTGTGTATAAACTGTGAATATGGTAAGGAAGAATATCTCCAAGTAGCCGCGGTGATCTCATTCCGTGATGATCGTGAAAAGAAAGGCTATAACCCTTGAAGAGAAACTCGATGTTATCTACCTCAAAATCACCCTCCCCCATCGTTATATTCTATATTTTTCAAGGTAAAGTGTTACATTTACTGTATGATTTCATTATTAGATATTGAATGTAATATTTGTTTTGGACATTGTATCCCTGTGTTAGGCTAACTACTAAATTTTTCGATTTCAAGTAGTAATCTGCACCCCTAACCCTATTTTCTCCATAAGCTGCTATATTTCTATTACGCTGAATTTCTATCGCATGCTTTTACAAGAACACAACTATTTCAGGAGTAGCAGAACTGACTGTATGCCTTGGAAACATAAAAATTCTAAAGATACATCTTCTTTGTTACAACGGGCCAGGTCAAAATAGCGGATATCACACCGTTACACAAAGGGCCATACTGCAACTGAAAATTTTCGATAGTGGACTGCATTTAAAACAAAAGTGAATTTGATTGGCCGGAAATGAAGTAGGTGATATAAATTCTGAAATGCATAATTGCGATTGGTTGTGGGTATGAGCTATCCGGCACATGCACAACTGGATTTCTGAAGATGACAGCGGGTCACCAGATAATGGCTGGATATGTCATGGTTAATTTCCCAACCAAAACTTTCAAGCGCCATATCTTCTTTATTATGCATTTGTGATGGAAACATCATAGAAGAAAATTGTCTTAGAATTTTCTGTACATTTCACATCTGTTGCCAGATTTATCGTAAAGAATTATGGGACTAAGTACCTAAATTTTCACTTATCACTATGCAAAATCGGAGTTGAAACTGTTTTACCGATGGTTTTTGATGTGTTATGAATGAATTTGAGCCCCATTTCTGGCGCAAATCAATAGTTTCTGAGATAAGCCCCTCCCATCTGAGAATCTAGAGATTTGCTATAAAAATCAAAGTAAAATGTGTTCAAACACAAAAAGCAATCAAAAAAACCATTTTGAATCTAACCAAACCAAACCTGATTTAATTAGGTGGTTCCACAGTCGTTCGATGTTCTGGATGCTATGTCGTTATACTCCTATGTTCTGGGTGTGCACGCCATGTGTTTAACATACCTTTATATAATAAAAATTTTAAATATTTTGCTTATGCCAGAAATACCATTGAAGAAAAGTGTCTTAGAATTGTCAAATTATAGATTGCAACCCAGGTATAACCTGGAGATTTGTTTCATGGCAACAAGTATTTTAACTGATAAAATTACCCACAATATTAGTGGGCAGGACTTTGAAGTTGAGAGAAAATGTGGAGTAAAATACTTAAAAAGAACACCAAACAAACCTATGAAAGCAAACAGACGACACATGGTGGTGGCCGATTTTCGGAAGTATTTACAGAAAATAATTAATTTCTTAACATACAAAGCATATACAGTAAAGACAACATTTTAGTGTCATATGAAAATTTTTTTCACTGTCTTACCCTGCAATTTCGATCATCTTTCATGCCCTGCCCACTACAGGTGATTTATGATCATAGGTAGAGAAAACTATAAACTAAAAAAAAAATATATATAATAGGATATATATATATATATATATATATATATATATATATATATATATATATATATATATATATATATATATATTTATTTATTTATATTATATATATATATTTATATATATATATATATATATATATATATATATATATATATATATATATATATATATATATATATATTTATATATAAATATATATTTATATATATATATATTATATATATATATATATATATATATATATATAATTAAAGTTGTAAAATTTAAGTCTTACTATCAATTTTATTTTTTTCCCAGAAATCGAGGTTTTTCCCATGGTATTTGGTGTGAATCATTCGAATTTGACCTTTATTTCCATCGGAAATGAGTAATTTTTTAGTTATACCCCCCTCCTCCAAAAATCTTGGGGGATCTGTGGAAATTCAGAGTTTTGGGGCCGGGTGAGAGCAAAAATGGAAGCTAATCTAATCTAACGTAACCTAACCAAAACCTAACCGAACCTAACTTAATCAAAACCAGGTACATGATGCCCACTAATTCCCCACAACTCTTGCGAGTGGAAAATACCTGTCTTCGCTGTAACACACAGCTTTCACGAGGCGCCTCGCACTTTGGTATCATATACCGGGTAGTATTTTTATTTTATTTTATTTTTATTTTTTAATATATTTATTTAACCAAACTTTTAGAAAAATTATTCGAGATTATTCTAGTAAGGAAATGGAGTTTATAATTCAATTAGAACTGGTTTTACAGACTCCAGTAGTTTAGACTCTTGGAAAACTTTCCCCAGCACCCAGAAACATTCTGAGGATGTGGGCTAGTGTCTGGGTTTGAGAAAGTTGTTTGGATATATATATATATATATATATATATATATATATATATATATATATATATATATATATATATATATATATATATATATATATATATATATATATATATATATATATATATATATATACATATACACACACAGTTGTACCCCACTTAACGCGGTCAATAGAACCCAGAGGGTCCCGCGTTAAGTGAAATCCGCGTTAAGTGAACAACAGAACATATGGGATTAATTCCAATAGAAACCAGCCCGACCCCCAAACTCCACTTTTTGAAGACACATAACTATGTTGTAGTAAAAATAACATCTTAATTTTATGATGGTACATGCACACAATTAATACTTAAGAGAAATACAGTCGCCAAGTTAATGTCCATTCAAATAATGGACTCAACTCCCTCCCCCTCTTCTCACACTACACTGCCGGCTCTTCCCTCTCTGAGAAATTTTGGGGGGAAAACTACTAAATTTTAATAAATGATACCTCAAACTAAAGTTAGGATAATACAATTGACATTGCTGGATTCCTTGTAAGACCAGGAATATTTTGAATATAAATGTCATATATTTTGCACAAAAGATAACATATTTACTAGAGAAAACATTATATCTAAAATTTGTATGTCTAATGTAAAATATATGATGTTTATATTCAAATGATCACCAAATTATAAGAATTCCAGCAATGTAAATTATATTCTGGCCGGGTAATTTGTATGAATTTTATGAGCTAAAACAAATATCTTCAGTTAATAAAAAAAAAAATATTCTTCAGGACACTATCTGTCAATCAAAGTACCCCACCTTGCCTCTCCCCTCTTCCAACCGCGTGGTCAGTCCCAACCCTCCCCCCCACCCCCCACCAATCCTCCCTTCAAGAGAAGAGTGGGTGAAAAAAATAAATTTTAACATTTTGTATTAAATAATACCTCAGATTAAAGTTAGGATAATATAATTGACATTGCTGGATTCCTTGTAAGACCAGGAATATTTTGAATATAAATGTCATATATTTTGCACAAAAGATAACATATTTACTAGAGAAAACATTTTATCTAAAATTTGTATGTCTAATGCAAAATATATGATGTTTATTTTCAAAATGATCATCAAATTATAAGAATTCCAGCAATGTAAATTATATTCTGACCGGGTAATTTGTATGAATTTTATGAGCTAAAACAAATATCTTCAGTTAATAAAAAAAAAAATAATCTTCACGACACTATCTGTCAATCAAAGTACCCCACCTTGCCTCCCCCCCTCTTCCAACTGCGCAGTCAGTCCCAACCCTCCCCCCACCCCCACCAATCCTCCCTTCCAGAGTTTTTAACATTTAGTATTAAATAATACCTCAGATTAAAGTTAGGATAATATAATTGACATTGCTAGATTCCTTGTAAGACCAGGAATATTTTGAATATAAATGTCATATATTTTGCACAAAAGATAACATAGTTACCTAGAGAAAAATTTTTATCTAAAAATTGTATGTTTAATGCAAAATATATGATGTTTATATTCAAAATGATCACCAAATTGTAAGAATTCCAGCAATGTAAATTATATTCTGACCAGGTAATTTGTATGAATTTTATGAGCTAAAACAAATATCTTCAGTTAATAAAAAAAAAAATAATTCTTCACGGGGTAACAGATGGTCGGTCGGTCGGTCCCTCCCTCCCCCCACCCCCCACCAACCGTCCCAAGGAGATGTGTGGGATAACCACTAAATTTTAATAAATAATACCTCAAACTAAAGTTAGGATAATATAATTGACATTGCTGGATTCCTTGTAAGACCAGGAATATTTTGAACATAAATGTCATATATTTTGGACAAAAGATAACATAATTACCTAGAGAAAAATTTTTATCTAAAAATTGTATGTTTAATGCAAAATATATGTTGTTTATATTCAAAATGATCACCAAATTATAAGAATTCCAGCAATGTAAATTATATTCTGGCTGGGTAATTTGTATGAATTTTATGAGCTAAAACAGGCAGTCAGGCAGGGTGGCGGGTGGGGCAAATCTAAAAATAGCGTCTCCAGCCGGACACTCACTTATATGTGAAAAAAATCCGTGTTAAGTGAAAGTCTACTACAGGCACGCGATATGAGATAAAAACGTAGTTATGAAACCAAGTATGTAATATATATATATATATATATATATATATATATATATATATATATATATATATATATATATATATATATATATATATATATATATATATATATATATATATATATATATATATATATATATATATATATATATATATATATATATATCTGTTTGTTTGTGTGTGAATGTGTTATTAATACTTTAATGCCTGTACTTCATCTTTATCTTAAGGTACTCAACAGTTTTGAGACAACTTGTGGCCGGTAAATTTAAGAAGAAAAATGAGCGGCTTAACAGATGAACAGCGACGTATGATAGAAAAAAAACGTTTGGAAGCTCAGCAGCGGTTGAAGGAAACGAAGCTCAAGGGTGCTGTTGCAATCCCGTCAACAAGTAATACAGCCCCCCAAGAAATAATATGTGCTCCTGAAAAAGCAGTGAAGAAAAACCCTCCATCAGCAGGTATGAACAAATAATTTTACTCTCCTAATGTTATATAGTACTGTATATGCAATAATGTACTGTATTATGATAAGTGAATCTTAGTGTTAATACAGTACTGTTGGATATTTAGATTTTTAATTATAAATGGAGTCCATTTGATCAACAAAATACTGTATAATGATTAAGTATTTTTTTAATGTGTATGTGTGGAGGTTAAATATATTGGCTTTAAAATCAGGTTTTAAATTTAATATACTGTGCATGAGATTATTAATGATAATATTGAGGAAGTTTTCACTGGATTGTAAAACCAAGGGACTCCAGCTTTAGTGATAAAATATTTGGAGTGTGTAGTTATGTTTGTGTCTGTTTGGTTACTGAGTGAACAATAGGGGGCAGTGAAATTTTGCTCAAAGCTGCACTCTTCAGGCATTGTTCCTTATACATATCTAAGACTCCATGCCAAATTTGAAGTTGATATGTCGAGGTTTAGTCTGCCGCATTTTCTACTGAAATTTTTAAATTTACCTACAGTACTAGCCAAACAGCCGCTGTGGCGGTGCAATGTTCTGTTCAGTGTTTATCAACTTTTTTTTTCATATCTCTTATTTCATTTAAGTTGTCTTGTTGCAGATGAGTATGGTGCTATGTCTATATTGATTATCAGTTGATTTTGTCCCTGATCCAAGGGCTCTGACACACACCAGTTCACAGAACCGGACAAGACTCCCTACACTGGCTGCCGCTTGTGACCGATACTTGATTAGTGATTATGCTGGAGCTGCCATTGCTACTGCCACCTTAACTGACTATGGCATTATCACAAAGGATGACAAGAGTCAGGTTATTGGACCACATAAGCTGCGGGATGCGAGACAAAAATACCGATTTAAGAGGCAAGAAATTGAGATGGTTAGTTTAGATAATTTGACGTCACTCTATTTTGATGGTAAGAAGACCGCCACTCGTGTGATGATAAAGAATGAGAAGACCGAGAAATGGAGTTCGAGGATGATGGTGAAAGATCATTATGTCATCATGGTTGAGCCTGGCAATGAATATCTCACACATGTGACTTCCAAGACTGGACACGGAAAGCAGATTGCCAAAACTATTCACGAGTTTCTGGTGGAGAAAAATCTAACCCAGCAGCCCATTGTGTGTGTTGGAACCAATGCAAATGTAGGATCAGAAAATGGAGTCATTCATCATCTTGAAATGTTACTTGGTCACCCGCTCCATTATTTCATATGTCAGCTTCACGGAAATGAGCTGCCTTTCCGCGCAGTTTTTTATCACTATGATGGTAAACCAAGTGGTCCTGAGCATTGGCGTGGTCCCATTGGAAAGCAGATCAAGGAGTCTTTGTCTGAGCCTCCAGTTGTCGCCTTCCAGCCAGTCAGTTTCCCTGATTTCCCTGTGTTTAATGATGAAGTGGAGAAAGATCTGTCCTGGGATCAGAAATACCTGTATAGGATTTGTAAAGGAGTTATCACAGGTGTTGTTGAAGATGACTTGGCTGCTATTGAGCCAGGTCCTCCCTGTGTGTCAAGGTGGAACACCTTACGGAGTAGAATCCTCAGGCTGTATGTAGCAACATCAAGACCCAGCCATGAGTTGAAAAGAATTGTCATTACAATAATAAAGTTCAGTGCTCCAATGTGGTTTTACATCAAGATACACCCTTACGTAACACACGGCTCAAGGAACGTATTCCAGTCCCTGCTATATATGAAACACGTGAATAGTGAGGAGGAGACGATAGTGAAGAAGGCTGTCCAGAGAAATGCATACTTCGCCCACACAGATCAACTTCTTCTTGGTATGTGTGCAGATGAGGACATGACTGTTAGAGAAAAAGCTGTCTCAATGATAAGAAAAATTAGAGAGGAGAATCAGCAAAAGGAAGAATGCACTGGCAGATCTGAAG